TTACGGGGAGCAGTCCGCCGCAAAGGAAATGTTTGTCGTCGACGAAGTGATACCGAAATTGGCGATCTCATCAACGAAAGGGTCAAATTTGAAGGGAAAACAGGAGGTCAATTAGCAATCACAGACACCGACCTAGACCCAATCAAGAAAGTAGGGGACTGACAAGGATGATGACTATGGGGTTCCTCGATCCTTCATAATCCCCGATAATTTCGATGCCGCCAAGTCAACGGTCGAAGAGATAGAACAAATCATACCAGCCGAACATCAGCCTGAGCAAAAGGTATACCTGGGCACGGGGCTAGCCCCTGAGCTCAGGAGAAAACTTATTCAATTCCTTAAAACTAACACGGATTTCTTTGCTTGGTCCCATCTTGATATGACAGGGATACCACCGAAAATTACCACCCATAATTTGAGCTTGGACCCAAAATTCCGTCCGGTGAAGCAAAAAAGAAGGCCCCAGTCCGAGGTCAAATACACTTTCATCAAAGACGAGGTAACCAAACTTCTCAATATAGGGTCCATCCGGGAAGTAAAATATCCCGGATGGTTAGCGAATGTAGTAGTAGTCCCTAAGAAGGGAAACAAACTTCGAATATGCGTAAACTACAAAGAATCGAATAAAGCATGCCCCAAGGATTCTTTTCCTTTGCCTAATATTGATTGCATAATCGATGTCATGGCCGGCCACGAGATCCTCAGTTTTCTCGACGCCTGTTCCGAGTACAACCAAATACAGATGAACCCGGAAGACTAGGAAAAGACCTCGTTCATCACCAAATATGGTACCTACTTTTATAATGTAATGCCATTTGGACTAAAAAATGTTTGTGCAACCTATCAACGCCTAGTAAACTGAATGTTCGAAGAACAAATAGGGAAATCTATGGAAGTTTATATTGATGACATGCTAGTTAAGTCCCTGGAGTAGTGGACCATTTGAAGTATTTCCAGGAAATTTTCAGTATACTGAAGAAATACAACATGAAGCTCAACCCTGAGAAATGCGCGTTCGGGGTTGGCTCTGGCAAATTTTTCGGCTTCATGGTATCCAATCGAGTAATCTAGATTAACCCCGACAAAATCAAAGCGATCGAGGATATCATAGTAGTAGACAACGTAAAGGCCATGCAAAGGTTAACAGGGCGCATAGCCGCCCTGCGGCGATTCATCTTAAGGTCCTCCGATAAGAGTCATCAGTTCTTTTTGTTGCTAAAGAAGAAGAATAACTTCACATGGACTCCGAAATGCCAAAATGCCTTGGAGGAGCTTAAACGGTATTTGTTGAGCCCACCGCCGCTTCATACGCTGAGGTCAGATGAACAACTTTACTTATATCTAGCAGTATCGAAGATAGTGGTAAGTGGAGTCCTAGTCCGAGAAGAACAAGGTACGCAGTTCCCTATCTATTATGTTAGTCGGACCCTAGGTGAAGCCGAAACTAGGTATCCTCATCTAGAAGAGTCAGCACTCGCTTTGATAAGTGCCTCTAGAAAACTAAAACCATACTTTCAATGTCATCCCATATGTGTTGTAACAACTTATCCTCTTCGAAATATTTTTCATAAACCTGAGCTTTCGGGACGATTGGCCAAGTGGGCCGTAGAACTCCACGGGTACGATATTGAGATCGACCCCCAAACAGTCATCAAGTCTCAAATCTTGGTATGCTTCATGGCTAAATTCACGCCGGCCCTAGTACCCGAGGTTGAAAGAGAACTATTAATCAACTAAGGTACATCCTCGAGGATCTGGACCCTCTTTACGGACGGTGCTTCGAATGTAAAGGAGTCTGGACTCGGCATCATGCTAAAACCATCCATGGGTAATGTGGTTACACAATCCATTAAAACTGTAAAATTGACTTACAACGAGGCCGAATATGAGGCCATGATTGCATGTCTCGAACTAGCCAAAAGCTTGGGAGAAGAGGTGATCGAAGACAAATGCGACTCCTTCATCGTTGTAAATCAGGTTAACAGAACCTTTGAAGTTCAGGAGGAAAAAATGCAAAGATACCTAGATAAGCTACAAGTAACTCTACACTGATTCAAGGAATGGAATTTGCAACATGTTCCTCGAGATCAAAATAGTAAAGTCGATGCCCTCGCAAACCTAGGGTCATCGGTCGAAGACAACGAATTCAATTCGAGGGCTGTTGTACAACTCATGAGATCAGTGGTCGAAGAAGGCCATGCCGAGATAAAATTCACAAGTTTGACTTGGGATTGGAAAAAGAAATACATAGAGTACTTGAAGAACAAAAAACTTCTCTCAAATCCAAAGGAATCGAGGGCCCTGCACACAAAGGCAGCCTGATTTAGCTTGTCCAAAGATGGATCCTTACTCAGAAGGATGTTCGACGCTCCGCTAGCAATATGTCTGGGACCGGGAGATACCAAGTATGTTTTGAGAGAAGTCCACGAAGGCACATGCGGGAACCATTCAGGCGCTGAATCACTGGTTTGAAAGGTAATTAGAGCTGGCTACTACAGGATTGATATGGAAAAGATGCAAAGGAGTTTATGCAAAAGTGAGATAATTGTCAAAGATATGCTCTGATGATTCATCAACCCGGGGAGCTGATGCATTCGGTTTTATCCCCATGGTCATTCATGAAGTGGGGGATGGACATCGTCGGACCTCTTCCATCGTCACTGGGTAAGGCTCAATTTGTTTTAATTATGATGACTATTTCTCTGAAAGGGTTGAAGCACAGGCCTACTAGAAGGCTAGGGAGAAAGAAGTCATTGAATTCATTTGGGACCACATCGTTTGTCGATTTAGGATACCATCTGAAATTGCATGTGACAATGGAAAACAGCTTATCGGCAGCAAGGTGATCAAATTTTTCGAAGGCCTCAAGATCAAAAAGGATCTTATCAACACGTTATAACCCTAGTGGGAATGAACAAGCCGAGTCGACCAACAAAACCATCATACAAACCTCAAGAAAAGGTTGGCCAACGCCAAAGGAAAATGGAGAGAAATCTTTCCCGAAGTCCTTTGGGCATATCGCACAACTTCAAAGTCCAGCACCGGGGCTACCCCCTTCTGTTTGGTTTATGGCGCCGAAGCTTTAATACCGGTCGAAATTGGGGAGCCAAGCATCAGACTCCGATATGCGACGAAGGAATCGAATGGTGAGGCCATGAATACGAGCCTGGAGCTATTAGATTTACGGTGTGAAACTGCCTTTGTCCGATTGGCTACCTGGAAACAACGGATCGAAAGGTATTACAATCGAAGGCCAACCTTCAATATTTTAATATTGGGGACTTGGTACTGAGGAAGGTCACATTAAACACCCAAAACAATTTAGGTCCGAACTAGGAAGGTCATACCAAATTCTCGAAATGACAGGGAAAGTATCCTATATGCTTGGAACGATGGATGGAGAACAGCTACCGAATAATTCGAACATAACTTATCTCAAATGCTATTACTGCTGAGGTATGAACCCATTTCAGTTCTTTTTATTTTGACTAACACTTGCAAGTTATCGACAAGGAGCAGCACGAAGCCTTTAAGTCTAAAAGCACGTGTTGCACTCTTTTTCCCTTGAACCATTTTTGTCCCAAATGGATTTTCCAGCAAGGTTTTTAACGAGGCAATAGTGGATCGTGCTAACTTAGAATAGAAGGCCGAATCACGAATTGGTATCAAAGATTGTGTTTATAGTATCCGAGATTTCTCTACAATCAACCTCGAATACTGGGGGGATTACCCTCAGATATTGAATTGTTCTAGCAAGGAAATTATTATGAAATGAAAGGGTCTCAATAGGTATGATTTACTGTAAGGGACAAATGGTCAAATGAATCGTGCCTATATAGATTGCTCGAGCCCTGATATAAAACATGTACGCATTTGTGACTATTTTTGACAAGAATAAAGAGAAGTACTTTTCTTGCAACTATTTAATGTCTTGGAAAAATTTCCACTCTACTACCCCATACTTTTGATCTATTATGGAAACGAGCCCAAGGGCCGATTGCAACCGGAGTTCGGATAATCACTCGAACACTCGTGGACTGTCGTCCATAAAATAAATTCAAATAGATCAAACTATTGAACGTCGAGGGCATGAGATCTCTTAGGCAACCCTCAAATTTTATAGGCCACGGCCATATCCACTCGGGGACTATTAGTTTAGGCAATCCTGGATAACTTGGGAAAGCGAGCTCACTGGGCTACACTCAAACTAAAAGGCTACGACCAATTTAACACGGTTCGGAGACGTCTGAAATCCGTAACAAATATAGGCCTTCGAAAAAGAAAAAATTCTTTCACAACCAATTCTAAAGGCTACTCTCGGGCATAATCGTAAACTTAAGATATTTTTAGGAAAAACCTTCGGTAAACACCGAACCCCGATAATGCCTTAACCCATAAGAGCAATAAAGGCAAGGTTTGTTCGAAACCTCGAACACAACTTTATTATTTTATGCTAAGGCATTCCAACCTTTTGTGAATACAAGCAGTAAAACAAAGGAAAAATTTTAGAGCCGAAAAGGGTGGAAAGCCTTATAAATAATCTTTTTACAAAGGCTAGATCGGACAAATACAAAATTTACAAAGGCCTAATGTCTACTTTTACTTCGAGTTCGAGAGATTATTCTCATTCGACTAGAAAGCCTAAGGGCTACCTTATTTTGAGTTCGAGCAGGTCCTCACTCGATCATTAAGCTTAAGGGCTACATAAACTCAAGTTAGAATAAATATTTGAGGTCCATCGATTAGAAACGATCGAGGGCATTGCTTATTATCGGTCATTACCATCCCAAACCTTGGACCCTTGAACACAACTTCACGATCTTATGCTAAGGCATTTTGACCCTTACATGAAATAACAAAAAGATAACATAAGCCATGGAAAGGAAAAAGTTTCATATATTCATCAAAATCTTTTATAAGGGCCATATGGCCCGATCAAGAATTCTTTACAAAGGCCGATCGGCCCCAATATAAAAGCAAAAATTACAAAGCCTAAGTAGCCTGGTCCTTCTCGGAGGAAGTTTCTTTGCCCTCAAAGTCTTCTCCACCAGATTCGCTCAAACTCTTGGAGTCTTCCTCAGGGAAAGCCAGTTTTCGAGCCCTTATTTTTTTTGCTCTAGCAATCTCAATTTCAGCGGATATATCAAAACCCTGAACAAGGGTTCCCTCGAGGGCCTCCCTTCGAGCTTGCCACTTCGCATGATCCACCATGATCTTGTCTTGTGCTTGAGTAGCTTCGACACCGACCTTGTATTGGGTCACATATACTTGGGCCTTGATGTTGGCCCCTCCGTCTCAGATTTAACCATTTCGAGCTCTTTGGCCAAGTCGGCTAAGTTGGACTGAAGCTCCTTAATTTTCTTTGCTTGTACCAAGGCTTTCTCCCTTGCAGTCCGAAGCTGAGACTCGGCCGACTCCAGCTATGCTTGGACGGCCTCTTTTTTTGAAGCTAAGATGTCCATACACCCCTTGAACTTTTCAGCTTCGTCTCGTATTTCATCTATTTGTCTCTGAAGGTCCTTGATCTGTTCGAGCCTCCATCAAAGCTGCAAAATTGGATAGTTAGTTATTATCTCCAACTCATCTTCACTATCGTGAAGCATTAGGAATACCTGCTTGGCCATCTCAGCATCTTCATCTCGAGCCATCATCAGATTTGCCTAAAGCTTCTTATTGAGAAGCTTATAGGTATCACTTTTCTCAGTAAGGCTCTAAACCTCAGTCTTATGCTCCTCTCGTATTCTAATGAAAGCCTCGTGATGAAACACCTAAGCCTACAAGTAAGGAAGAAAATGTTAGAACAATCTACAATTCAATATTTAAAAAAAGGATAATGGAATGGCCCTCGAACTTACCCAATTTAGAGCATGCTGGGCCTTGTTGAACAAACAGGCAACTTCCACCTCATCCATCTTGGCTTGGACTTCTTCGGTGACTAAACATCGGAGATAGCTAGCCACCCCTACGGGGGCAGAAAAAACTCGAGCATCCTTCGGGACCGAGATGATAATTGATCACTACGCCCGGGATCGACACTGAGGGCCAAAATCTGAATGGTCAGTTTAATGCTCGAGGAAGCCTCACTCGATCTCTTCCTCAGTACATCCAAGTCACCTAGACCGGTGACATCTTCCACTCCAACAAAATAGCCACGGAAAGGGTCTTCTACTCCATGGACTCATCCCCCGTGGCAAGTCTCCATCGCCTAAGCTTCATGTATCATCGACTCAGTGAATGAAGGAAACAAAGTAGAATATCCGATATCTACTATCCCAAGTAAATCTTTTGGGCACTGCCTTCATCTCTTGAAGTCTCGAGCATGGTTATTACACCAACATCGACCGCCTCTTCGATAGCCCTCTCACCTCGAGGTGAAGTGTCTCCAGCTCTTTCTGGCTCGGGGACTTCATCAAATCGAGACAGAACACTTTCATCTCCCGCCGACCTAGTAGTTCCTTGGATCTCGGTGCCAGCTCGCACACGGTCCACCAGCCCGGAGTCTTCTTCTTCTTCGGCATCATCCCTTAGCCGTTGGACTGACTCCAAAGTTATAGGGATGACGTTCCCCTTAGGTTTAGGGCTATTTTCTTTTGGGGTTTTCTGCCCCTCAGAGTTCGTGGAAACCGAAGCCCTTTTTCTCTTCTTCTCCTTTGCCGGTTTCGAGACAGATGGTGGGGGAAGGATTCTTCATCACCAGACGAGGGCCTCATTGTTACATCCTTCCCGAGACCTACAAATAAAAAAAGACGAGTAAGATCGATACAAAACCCGAACGATGACCGTTCTAAGAAAGAAAATTACCGTGGTTTCAAGCCTCCATTGACCCTTTGATATCTCTGTCTAAGCACGCTCGGAGTAAGACTTCTGAGACACTAAGCCATTGATCCATTGCCTGAGGTCGGGGATTACTTCTAGCACATGGGCCACAACTGCAACACGAAAAACATAGATGAGGAAAGAAGATGAGCAGTAAAACGGCAAAGTTAGATATTCAAGGCAAAGTAATACTTATGATTCATGTTCCATTTTTCAGGAAACGGCATGTCTTCGACAGGGATTAGGTCCAAAGTCCTTATTCGGACAAATCGGCCCATCCAACCTCGGTCTTGGGTCTCGTCTATGCTCGAGAATAGGAGTTTGGTAGGCTGACGATAAATTTTAATCAATCCTCCTCGATAAAGTTAGGGACTATAGAGATGCATAAGGTGATCGAGGGTAAAAGGATGTCTCTCGATCATGTTTACAAAAAATCGAAGGAGGATTAGGATCCTTTAGAATGATGGATGGCTCTAGCCAAGGGTCACATCATTCCTCTTGCAGAAGGCAATGATGATGGGGTCTAAAAGACCCAATGTGATAGCATAAGTATAAACACTTAGAAACCCTTTCACATGGATAGTGATTAACTCCTCAAGCGAAGGCACCACCATGTGCTTGTCAACCCAGTTGCAGTCCTCTTTAACTTGGTCGAGTAGATATTCGATAATTATGCATATGTGCCTCGACATCAGTTTGCATCGACCCGGTACCGAGGGTGTATTCTCTACCTTAAAATCAGTAGCAGTGGGGAACTTTGTCAGAACAAAGTCCTCTAGGGGAGGTTCCACCACGGCTCCATCGCCGGCGGGCCTTGATGATGAAGCAGTTTCCTTTTGTGGAATGGGTTTTTAAGTCTTAGCCATTTTTACTTTTACAAATGAAAAAGAATAGAAACTGGGAAGAAACACTTGGTATTTTGTGATAAAACGGGCGAAAAAACACCAGAGATCTGAGAATACAAAGCTTTGAGGAAGGTAAAGTATTTTTAGGGTGAAAGCAAAGGAGATTTGAAAGTAAAGTTTGGGCAAAAGAAGAAAGATACATTTATAGGTCTAAGATGACGGTTCAAATCCGGTAGTGGCCGACCATTGACTGGCACGCATTAAATGTTTGGGAAATTATACCGATAAGACATTTCTATTACCTATGTTGCTTACATCCTGGTGAAGATTGAGGTCTCAAATCATTTCTTGTCATTACTCCAAAAACGAGGGGACTATCTGTATACAGTCAAAATCGGGCTTGCCCCTTTTTTGTGCGACTGATCGAGGATCGACTTCGATTTATATCAAACTATGGTATAGAGTTAAGTTTTCAAGCTCGAGACACTGAGACCGATTAAGTTCCAGACCGACCAAGATCGGGACCGGATAAGATGGAGATCTAGGGAATTTTACTAGTTCAAATAATGGAAAGACAAAATATCCGCAATCGGGCAAGGATAATGGTGCAAATACTGGCACATATCAATAAGAGGTCGATTAATCAATCGATCATGAGATTTTTTACTGTATTTAGAATTGTACCAAGATTAGGACTCCCCTAATATATAAAGGGGTCTGATAATTTATAAGGGACATCATATTCATGTTACATGAAGCTATATATTACTTCTCTCTTAAGCTTTCAGCATTCTGTTACTTTGTTTTTGTGTCAACGTAATCTTCACTTGGTTCAAGGGTGATCAAATTCGAGGGCCAAGACCACTTGATTCATTTGGTTTGCTTCAATTCTTATTTATTGTCAATTTCAATATCAATCTATGTTTTGCTCAGTTTGTGCCAAGTAAAATTCCGTACTCTTAAAACCACAATATAAATTCAATTGTTATCCATTTTAGGGTAAACACTATGAAAAATGAAAGAGTAGTAAGACACAACATTGGCACTAACTGTCTTAGACAAAAATTCTACCAGACTAGCCTCACAAAGGTATGAAGTAAGGAAAGACTCAACTACCTCCTAACTTACAACCCTAATACTCGACCTTTACAACTTCCTATCAAGGGTCATGCCCTCGGAAATTTGAAGCCTCGCCAAGTCCTGCCTGATCACCTCTCCCCAATACTTCTTAGGCCTCTCTCTACCTCTTCTCATACCCTTCAAAGTCAGCTGTTCACACCTCCTAACCGGAGCATCTGGGCTTCTCCTCTGTACGTGCCCGAACCATCTGAGCCTCACTTCCCGCATCTTGTCATCAATGAGAGCCATTCCCACCTTCTCCCAAATTTCATCATTCCTAATCTTATCCCTCCTACTATTCTCGTACATCTACCTCAACATCCTCATTTCTACTATTTTTATCTTCTGGATATGTGAGTTCTTAACAAGTCAATATTGAGCCTCATACATCATGGCCGGTCTAACCACCGCTTTATAAAACTTACCTTTGAGTATCTGTAGCACCTCTTGTTACATAGGACTCCAGATTCTAACATCCACTTCATTCACCCCACCACAATACTGTGTGTGACATCCTTATCAATCTCCCCTCCCTGCTAGATAAACGACCCAAGGTACTTGAAACTGTCTCTACTTAGAATGACATGTGATTCAAGCCTCACATCCACACCCACTTGCCTCGGCTGAGAAATGAACTTACACTCTTGGTATTTCATCTCCGTCCTGCTCAACTTGAAACCCTTAGACTCAAGGGCCTATCCCTAAACCTCCAGCCTCTCGTTAACACCAGCTCGCGATTCATCAATCAAAATTATGTCATCAGCGAATAACATACACCATGGCACCTCCCCTGAATATGATGTGTTAATGCGTCCATTACCAGGGAAAATAAGAACGGGCTGAGCGCAGAAACTTAGTGTAACACCATTACAACCGGAAAATGCTCAGAGTCACCTCCTATTATCCTAACCCGAGTCTTTGCCCCATCATGCATGTCCTTTATCGCCATAATGTAGGCAACTGGCATACCTTTTTCCTCTAAGAATCTCTAGAGAAATGTTTTAGGAACCTTGTTACACGTTTTCTCCAGATTAATAAACACCATGTGCAGATCCTTCTTCTCTCCTTGTACTGTTCCACCAACCTCCTAATAAGGTGTATAGCTTCAGTAGTAGAACAACCCGACATGAAACCGAACTGGTTGTTGGATATAGATACCATCCTCTTCACCCTCACTTCAACCACCATCTCCCAAACTTTTATGGTATGAATCAGTAATTTGATACCCCTATAATTGTTACAACTCTAGATATCACCTTTGTTCTTATACAATGAAACTACTGTACTCCACGTCTACTCGACATCCTCTTCGTCCTAAAAATAACATTAAATAGCCCAGTCAGCCACTCTAAGCCTGCTTTACCCACACACTTCCATAATTCAACCGGAATTTTATTTGGCCTGGTCGCTCTGCCCCTACTCATCTTACGCATATCTCCCACGACCTCCTCAATCTTGATGTGCCTGCAGTACCCAAAGTCAGGTGACTCTCAAAAGGCTCAGTTCACCTAGCACAATATCCCGATCCCCTTCTTCATTCAGAAGTTTATGAAAGTAAGTCTTCCATCTCCTCTTAATCTGGGCATCTTCCATTAATACTTTACCATTCTCATCCTTGATGCACCTCACTTGGTCCAAATCCGGAGCCTTCATCTCTCTCATCTTGTCCAGCTAGAATAACTTCTTCTCCCCACCTTTTTCCCCTGGTTCCTCGTACATACGACTATAAGCCGCAGTCTTAGCTTCGGTGACCGCCAACTTAACTTCCTTCCTAGCTACCTTATACCACTCCATGCACGCTCGCCTCTCCTCCTCACATGTCCTCCCTACTAACTTTAGGTACTCCGCCTTCTTTGCTTCCACTTTACCTTGGACCACTTCATTCCACCACTAGTCTCCTTTATGCCCTCCAAAAACACCCGTCGAGAGCTCTAACACCTCTCTCGCGGCCTCCCTTATATAGTCTATTGTCATCGACCACATAATGCTCGCGTCACTACTGCTCATCCAGGCTCCCATATCCGACAACCGTCCCCCCATCTCCTAGGCTTTATACTTAGTCAAGGCTCCGTACCTGATTCTCGATCGTCCTCAAGCATACCTTTTTCTCATATTTAACATAATACCAACGTCCATCACCAAGAGCCTATGCTACATCACGAGTATCTCACCCAGAATAACCTTGCAATTCTTTCACAACCTTATTTCACACTTCTTGAGTAGGAGATAGTCAATCTGAGTCTTTGCCACCGCATTTTGAAAAGTAACCAAATGTTCCTCCCTCTTTGGAATGCTAGAGTTCGCAATCACTAACCCAAAAGCCTTAGTAAAGTCCAACAGTCTCCTCTGTTCCTCTCCCCACAATCGAAGCCTTCATGTACCTTGCGATACCTACTTGCGGTCGACCTAATATGACCATTGAAATCCCCTTATATGAATAACCTCTCAGCAGGCGGAACCTGGCGCATAATCTCATCTAACCCTTTCCAGAAGCACCGTTTAACCTCCTCATCCAAGCCCGCATGCGACGCGTAAGCGCTAACGACGTTTAGGGTGCACTCTCCAACTACCAACTTAATAGTCATCAATCTATCATTCACGCATCTAACCTCAACCATAGACTCTCTAAGTTCCCTATCCACCAAGATACCCACTCCATTCTTACACTTTCGAACTCTAGAGTGCCAAAGCTTATACCCATCCGCATCTCTCGCCCTCGACCCTACCCACCTAGTCTCCTGGACGCACGCTATATTGACCCTCCTCTTCCAAAGGATCTTTGTCAACTCTATAGACTTACCCGTCAATGTACCTAAGTTCCATGACCCAATTCTTAACCTATAGGAACCCTTGTTCCCTTTACCTCCCTTGCCTTCCGACAAACCCCCTAACCTCGGACCCACCTCCTGCCCCACCCCCTGGTCCCCCTGAGGACATGACCTCACTCGACTATCCCAGACTACAGCCACTATACTACGACAGACTAAGAAAAATCACTAACACACACTAGGCAACAGACCAAACTAGAAGAAGACAAGTTGCAACTACAGGCACACTAATATGATGATAAAACTAATACGAACTAAGATGGCAACAACTTAACTAACACAGTAAAGAAAAACAAAAAAATGGAAGGTACCAACTCCCGCGAGTAGAACCTGTGAATTGTCTTAGTATATAC